TAGTACAGGAATTGCGTTAGCAGGTTGAGAACAGTCAAACAGAAATACAGGAATTGCCTGAGCAGTCTGAGAACAAAGAGAAAGACAGGAATTGCCTGAGTAGGCTGAGAATAGTCAAAGAGAAACACAGGAATTGTGTGATCAAGCTGAGAACAGTCAGAGAATTACAAGAATTGTGTGAATGTGAGGAAGCTATTCAAAGAGTAATACAGAAAGATCTTCACTAGCCATAGACAAGGGTCTCATACCTAAAATATTCCTGAACTTAAAACATTAAAGCCCCCAACAACAATCCTCAAAGAAACAACGGCCGAATAAATAAGTGGGCTAGAGTCTTACAGAGAAACTTCTCTGAAGAGGAAAGAAGGATGGCTAATAGACACATGAAGAAATGCTCAACCTCCCTATCCATAAAATGCAAATCAATACAACATTAAGTTTCTACCTCACCCTAGTTAGAATGGCTATAATCAAGAACTCTAATAACAACAGATGCTGGAGGGGATGTGGACAGAAGGGGACCCTACTGCATTATTGGTGGGAGTGTAAACTTATTCAACTACTTTGGAAAGTAGTATGTAGGTTCCTCAAAAGACTCCACATAGAGCTTCCCTATGACACAGCGATGCCACTTTTGGGTATTTATCCGAATGATCACAAACAAGACCATACTAAAGCGACTAGCACAACAATGTTTATTGCAGCTTTATTTACATAGCTAAGGTATTGAACCAACCCAGATGCCCCTCTGTAGATGAAAGGATCAAGAAAATATATATACACATATATACATACATATATATACATACATATATACATATACATATATATGTTATATATACATATATATGTATGTATATATATGTAATATATATACATACATATATATGTATGTAGATATGTTATATATATACACAGTGGAATTATATGCCTCCATTAGAACAAATGGCATTGCCCTGTTTGTTAGGAAATGGGAAGACTTGGAAAAATTATATTAATTGAAGTAAGGCAGGCTCAAAGAAACATAGGCACAGGGTTTCCCTTATTTGCAATAACTAGTATATGTCTGAGAAAAGCAGAATTGGTCAGGTGATTTGATGTTAGGTGAAATGAACCCAATCCTCTGCTCCCCCAAGTCCCCTTCTAGAAGTAAATCCCCTTAGTTTGGCACATTTCAAGAACCTCCTCCCCATTCCCTCCCTCAATGACCAAATTCTTATTTCCCTTAAAGCTTCTCACATACCTTTTTTAACCCCAAATGAGTATCTCCTCTTTCCTGCTACCTGCTGAGGGCTAAAGTCCATTATCCTTCAGCTTCTTTCTGCCTCTCTCCTAATTCCCATTCACTCTCCCACAAAACCCCATATTAGGAATAAAAAAAATCCTAATGGCTCCTACTGCTTGCTTCAGGACCCTGAAAAAATAATCAGAGTCATCTCATCTGTTCTCATTTATCCTATCCTTGTGTTCCACATCTTCTCCAACTCCCCAGTCTTTTCAGTTTTTGATTTAAATGACACCTTCTTTATTATCCCCTGACACATCACCTCAAGGCCCATCTTTGCCTTCACCTAGGAAAGACCCAGATACTCTCCAGGCTCAGCAAATAACCCAGACAGTATTGCCTCAAGGATTTAGAGACCGCCACCATTATATTGACCAAACCCTACAATAGGACTTGACCAATTACAACCTGTCCCCTAGTTTTCTTCTTCAATATGACCTCCTTCTTTTCAGCCTTTCAGCTGAGCCAAATATCAAACAACCTGATCATTAGTTGTTCAAAGGTTCTATATCCTCTGAATCCTCCCCTAAGTGTACCATCTTTAGTTAATTATTTGTATGTTTATAGTTAGACTTAAATTCTGGAAACTAGCAAAATCTGCCATACTGTTACATATATAACACATATTGTTTGTAATAAATATGCAAAGATACAAAATCTCTACTTCAATTTAATTATTCTTCAGTTTGTTCTCATTTCATTCTCCCCTCCAGCATTACAGTGTTAAATCAGTCTTTCTAAAGCATTGCTTTGATTTCTCTTATCACCTGATTTTCAAAAAGTAATGATTTTCTATCACCTGAACTTTTCTTTCTTCAGATCTACAGCTTTTCCTCCAGCTTTTTCCTTGCTGTGGTTTGAATGTGTCTTCTCCAATATGGCAGTATTAAGAGGTGAGGCCTTTCCAATTTGATTAGGAAATGGAGGGACAAAGTGAACAAATGCAGCAGTTGTGGCAAAGGAACTATATAACTTGTGTGTGGGAAAAGAGGGAGAATCTGGGAAAGAGCAAGGAAAGAGGTGACATTGTCCAAAAAGAAATGTATTTTTGAGACGACCCAGGATCCAAGACTTGGCAAGATGGCAGAAGGAAGTGCAACGGCTCCGTGGAGAGCAACGGTGAGCATGACGGCGGACGCCAGGGAGCGTCTTCCAAGGCTGACTAGGCTATGGCCGGGTTTTCATGAAGATCTTTAACAAGGGAAAGTAATCTGCACACAGCCCCCTAAAATCAGCATTAAAAATCAGCCTGGTGTGTACTGCTGGTGAAGCAGCCACATGGAAGATGCCATGAGTACCACTATTTTACCTCATGCTCGAAATATCAGACACTGGTCCAGGGACACGGTGTCGGGGCCTGGACGCACTCCTTTTGTCTCATAGTGCCCCTATCCACTCAGAGAGATCCACTGAGCTTAACATCCTGATGCTAAGCACCAAGGGATAGCCAAGCAATACCAATAATGTAAAGATGGTGGCTTGCTTGCCAAGTGACTCATTCTTCAATGTTGGCTCATAATATAGGGCTTTGTTTAAATGGGGGGAAAAAATCTGCTCCATCAGCTGCATGGCAGTGATGGACTAAATAGCAGGAAGAATAAGATTACCATCTTACACACACACACACACACACACACACACACACACACACGCCTTATTCTCTAGGGACATTATTCCCAATGAATACTAATGAATAAATAAATTGGAATCTGTAAAAGGTATCAGTTCAACCGTTTGATATTTGATATTGATAGTTATCATTTAAAAAGAATTATTTAAGAAACATAAAAATGTGACTCTGAATGTGCCTAGATAGGGAAGCGTGATGTGCAGATATATTTTACATGACTTATTTTCAATTAAATTGTTTGGACTGCACTTTTAAAATAGTTCCAAATGACAAACCTGATGGATGTTTTCTTTATCATGAAGGAAATAATTGCCAGATATTTAGGTCTCTGAATATTTGTTTTGAAATCTCACTCAAAAGAATTTTAGCCCCAATGCCTCCACAAAATGATTTAATGAATATTTATTGAAGAACTGTGGTGAGTTGTGCTATAAGTATATTGGGAAGAAATATGGAGCATAAATGTAATCTATTCGCTGTTTATAAAAATCAATAAAAGATGATCATGACTACTGTTAAAATCTACAAAAAAAAAAAAAAGAAATGTATTTTTACCTGACTTCTGTAACTGTAACCCCCTGTATATCCCCTTTGTAATAACCATAAACATTTTTTAAGTTGACAAAAGTAATAAATACCTTTTAAGAATTAATAAAAAAGTAAATACCAAGCATTCCACTCCCCTTCTTAACCCTCTTGCTTCTTGGGGCTACAGAGCCTTGAAATACTCTACTCAGTTGTGCCAGATTTTAGTCACACCTAGGGGTCATTATTTCTCATCAGGGATGAGCTATACCTCCCTGCACAATTCAGGACCTCCTCAATTACCACCTGTCTCTGTCCAACGAAGAGCATCTGGCCCTTCTTGGCCTTCTTTAACTTCTTTCACCTCTGGATTCCCATTTTTTTCCCTTATAGACTTTCCCTTGCACTCTGTCACCAAACGGTCCCTTTTCATTCAGCATGATTGCCAGTAGTGTTTCTAGAGCATTTTGAGAACTATCCTCTAGGTTTTTCATTGGCTGCTCTGTTGCCAATTCCAAGTGGGATAGAACAAGCCATAGAAACACAAGATAAATGGCAAGTGAAGGAGCCTCAACTCCAAACAAGGAGGCAACAGATTCTGATTTCTTCAAGGAGCCTTCTGAATGGTTGAACTGTTCCTTCTCTTGTACTATTTAAAGATCATGGCCATATATTGAATCTGAGCATGACCTAATGTATTTCCCCCTCTTTGGGGATCCCTTTCTTTTTGCTATCTATTAATATTTAGGATCCTTAGAGACTGAGGTGACAAGGCTAAACTCAGACCATCATGCACTAGATACCTTCAACTTCCCGTGAGGAATAATGACCAATAATCAAACTATTCCTCCACTGGTTCATCTTAAGTCACGTTGATGCCCTGGCCCTTTTTGCCAGAAAAAAGTACTCATAGAGATTCCCATGGGAAACTAGTGCTGCTTAATACCCTGATCTAAATTTCTGAAGGAGGTGATAGAGAATGTGAAAGAGAGAGAGAGAGAGAGACAGAGAGAGAGAGAGAGAGAGAGAAAGAGAGAGGGAGAGAGGGAGGGAGGGAGGGAGGAAGGTATGGAGGAGGAGAGGGAGAGAGAAAGATGTACAGAGGGGGTGAGGGAGAGAGGGAGAGGTATTTCCTAGGAAAATACACTCAGTAATATTGCAGAACAGTAAATATTTGAACAGAAATACACAACTAGCTCAGAAAATATTCTCAAGTAACTGTAATCAAAGTATGGAAACTTTCATCAAAATGAATGTTCATATATCAGTGAACTGAGCAATATAGTGATATTAAAGCATCATTATAGCCTGCATATAGGGAAAGGAAGAATCACAGTAGATTTGTAATTAAAAGGACGACTGATAGCATAAAAGGAAGATTACATTGGAGGAAACAAAGGATATCCAGGAGGAAATACAAATTTAGACAGTCTAGTTGGAATCTTGCTCTAACTCTAACACAACCCACAAAATGAATGAGTTCAAATGGTTATTGACTGACCAAATTGTATGGATTTGTCTCAGACCCTCCAAGCATTCTAGACAAAATTTATGTCCATCTTAAGATTTATTTCTTTCAGTTGTTCTCTCCCTATACCTGTGCAGTGAATTTCTCTCAGGTCTTATCAAGACGATGTAACACTTGGGGGCAAAGATGCAGCTCAGGAGGCCTCCACTGGAGGCCAAGATGAAGACCTCCACGGCCACCATGACCTTCACCTTGGTGCTATGGTAGACAGGCAGGAAGGTGAGCCACATACTGCAGAACATCAGCATGCTGAAGGTCAGGAACTTGGCCTCATTGAAGGTGTCAGGCAGGTTCCTGACCAGAAAAGCCACAGTGAAGCTGGCCAGGGCCAGGGCACCCAGGTATCCCAGGACAGAGAAGAAAGCGGTGAGAGAGCTCATGTTGCACAGGATGATGATGTGGCCATGTTCAGAGTGTGCATCTATGTCCACAAAAGGAGGAGAGATTCCCAACCAGAGACCACAGAGAGTCACTTGGATGAGAGTGCAGATGGTGATGATGAGGTTAGGAGCCCCGGACAACAGCCACAGTCTCATGCTTCTCCCTGGATCAGTGAGTGTGAAGGCCAGAAGCACAGTGATGATCTTTGCTGGGACCGTGGAGACAGCCACGGTGAAGACCACTGCGAATGTGGTGTGCTGCAGGATGCAGGTGGCTGTGTTGGGACGGCCAAGGAAGAGCAAGGAGCAGAGGAAGCAGCAGGTGAGGGAGATGAGCAGGATGTAGCTGAGTGCCCGGTTATTGGCCTTGACAATAGGGGTGTCTTGGTGCTTGATAAACCCCCCAAGAACAGCAGCTGTTAGTGCAGAGCAGCAGAGAGCCGCGCAGACCAGAGACAGGCCCAAGGGGTCTTCATAAGCCAGGAAGGCCTCAGTTTTCATGAGGCAGTGGTTTCTCTGGGTGTTGGCAAATTGATGATCTGCACACCTGACACACGGCTCCATGTCTGATGAGGAGTGAGAATCACTATTAGTCTGGTTTCCATATTTCTCTTTCCTCACATCCTCCTCTACTTAAGCAGCTCATTTCCCCTGATTCACCAGTTAACCTGTATTGCTCTCAATACCAACTAGTATAACTCTCTGTATCAAAATACGTTCACCTGAATTCTCTTTCTTTCACACATTTCTTCTTCTTTCCTTCTTCCCTTTCTCTTTTTTCTGTTTATTTCGCTTCCTTCCTTCTCTCCCTCACTCCCTCACATCACCCTCGTCTCTCTCTCTTTCTTTCTTTCTTTTTTCTTTCTTTTTCTGTCTGTCTGTCTGTCTGTTTGTCTTTCATCCAGTGCTTGAACTCTGCCCCTAGGAATTTTTCCAGAGTATTCATTCTCAAAACTACCCCTCTACCACTTGACTAACAGCTCAAATTCCAGCTCTTTTGGTGCTTAATTGTGGAAAAGATTTTTACTGAGTTTCCTGCTCATCATTGCAATGAAGCTCCATCCTCAAATCTCAATTGCCTGAGTCACTTGGATTACAGGTGCAATATATAATTACCTAGCCTTCCTGCTGCATTCTTGACAGGCCATACCACTCTGGCTCTCTGCTACTCATTCAAGAAATAATGGAAAATATAGAATCAGCCCAAGCACTTCAATTTAAAAAGAAGTTTTAATCCTAAACTCAACCTACTACTTACCCCAAACAAACTTTCTGAGCATTTGATCTATGGGAGGAGGAGTTGGGGAGGTTGGAAGGAAGAGATGGTAAGAGAAAAACAAAGGAGGAGGCAACAATACTCAATAAGAAATGTACTCATTTCCTTACCGATGTAAATGTAACCACTCTGTACAGGATTTTAACACTAAAAATGTATTAAAGAAAGAACAATGCTCCTCCACTGATATGAGAGGATCTCAGAAAGCTCAGCTTGAGGAAGGAGAAGAGACACGAAATGGAGATGGTGAACTACTTCTGAATCAATGGTATTTGAGTAATTGTTAGTCAACCTAGTGCCAGTGTCAGATATGGAGTGATCATAACAAAAAAAAAAAACAAAAAAGCCCAAAAGCCCCTTGTATTATTAGGTGTGCTAAATAGAAAATAACATTTAATTAGGAAAGAGTGGCAATGAGCATTCACAAATGAAATTCTGTTACATCCACAATTCCATTTAGATTTGCATGTCATTTCAACCATCAACAACTAATCCTTGATATTTTCTTTTTTATATACTTTCTTTACATACAAAAACATGTGACTGAGGAGAGGGGAACAGGGTATTGTAATGGAGGGGCAGTGGGTTGTTTCTTCTAAGGAGAAGTATGGTTAATGATAGTCATAGAACTTTGGGTGAAGGTGCATGTGTGTTCCTGCTGTTTTATTGTATATCACTCCACTGGTTTGGATGGACTGAAGGCTAAGAAGGTGAGATGGGGAATTTCTCTATAAGTCACAGACTCACCTGTCTGCATTAGAAATCTCATTCTCTGGACAAAGAATGCAGTCAAAGCAACAGGTAGCATTTCCTTCCACAGAGGCCTTCCTGTATCCAGAACCACAGTTCTCAGTGCAGACAGACTGAGGAGTCTGGGAACATTCAGATGAAGGGTAGTACTATTCATCCTTTTACCTGAAATCCCAGACACTCCAGCACTTTAAGGAAAAAGATCATCAAAAACAAAATCTTTAAATACATACAACCAATGAATTGATTGAGCCTTCTTACAGTTTCATGTAACATGACCTGAAGAATATATGGAGAATCGACATCCAGGCCCTCACGCTATCAGGAAGTCATGGAGCCTTGAAGAGGTGGATGTTAATTCTAGGAAATTAGGAAATGGGAGTTAACCCTACATCCCATTCTTGTATCAGGTGATGATGTGTTTTCTCTCATAAGAAGAACATCACTAGGGGAAACTTTAAATCAACACTCTAAAGCATGGCTAAGTGCTTTGAAGGTGCTGTTGTATCCAGGGTTATTCACATCTCACTCCCTTGACTTCCCAGCTGCCATGAGGTGGGTGAACTTCACTGGCAGATGCTCCTTTCATTACAACCTGTGTCAACACGGATCCAAAAGCAACAATCTACCCAAGCATGGTCTGAAATCTCCAGGCAGAAGCAAAGCAAGCCCTTCTGCCTTCTCATTTGATTCCCTCAGGTATTTGGTCACAGTGTTGGAAAGATGATTCACAAGTGGCATTTAGCTTTTATGATATTCAATATGCAAACATAGAACAACATATTGATAATGAAATGTTCCCCTATTCCCTACATGAATCTGTTAGTAAGAAACTTCCAGAAACAGGAAGTGGTGAAATGTACACGATTGAACCATAGTTTTATTGAACAAGCTTTAAAAAAAGGGTAAGCTTATTGCTTATTTATACATAGATTATGACATTATGCTTAGAAACAACCAACTCTGGGGGAGAAATAGGATGTAGTGACAGTGTCTACAAGCATTGTGATTGTAACCTGACTAAGGAAATTGTAAGCTCTTTCTACAACTACTTCCTAATAACAATCCTTTTTTTAAAAAAGGAGAGAGGAAAAAAAGTAGAAATGACCCACCTTGGTAATTCCTATGGGCCACTCTATCAGATTTTCAAACAAAATCAGTTGTTGACCATATGGCCTAGATGGAGAAAACTCGCCAACTTTCACCCTTTGTCCCAGACCTTCTGGAAAATTCCAAAAGCTCTTAATGTCATATTCTGCCTCCAATTTCCTTTCCTCATTCAAAACCACTTGGTCTCCAACAGGATTGGTAAATTGGATCTTCTTCAAAAAGGGATGCAGCTAAAAGGGACACATTACAGTATGGTGAAGTGCTTCCCAGTGTTATCACAGAACCCCAGAACAATGGATTACACTTCATTCCCATCCCCTGATTCATACACACCACAGGAATCCAACCAACTGTATCAATTGCAGGCCCACAGCAGACTAAAGCGTTACCAAGTTCTAAAACCTGGGTATCCAGGATGGGATGCAGAAACTCAATTTCAAGGGAATGCAACTCCAGCTACATCTAACAAAATAATGAATTATCATATGACAGACCTCAAAGACTCTCAATTGCATTCCAATCACTTATTTTATGATTGTGATCAGAGAGTCAGTCTGAAATAAGGGGAATAATAAACTAAGTAGGATAGTAAAATATTTATGACAATTATGAAAGACTACTTTAAGCAAGACTTAGTTCATTGTGGTGTGTGTGTGTGTGTGTGTGTTTATCCTGTGACACAAACTCAGGGCTTAGACACTCAAATCGAGGTGGTTTTAATTTCTTTTCAAAGTATGCATTCTATCCATTGAGCCAAAGCTCCACTTCTGGCTTTTGATAGTTAACTATAGTCAGGAGTAAGCCATAGGTGTGAGCCACTTGTGTCCAGACAATATTAGGTTTTCAAGAATTAGTCACCTTGATCTGTTATTTTAAAAAGTTACAAGGACAACTTGGATATATTGAAAAGGGGACGGCTTTTTCCACACATAGTGTGGATGGGGACAGAAGACATAGCACTTCCTTTTCATGGATGCAGCGTTCTTCAAGAACATTGTCTTCACAGCTCTACATTCACTCATGTAGAGTATGACAGGCCCAATGTTTCTTATATTTTCCAAAATGGAGCCAGATGACCTAGTTCCATCTGCAATGAAATCTTCTATAGAAAGTCTATATGCCTAGAGTAGGTCACCCAAAACCAAAGCCATTACCTGTGAAGAGAGAAATGCCCTTGATTGACCATTGTGCCCTAGTGGCTCCTCCATGTGACAAAGAAACATCTGGTGGAGGGCGTGGGCCAAGGCATACACAGCATTATAGATGTTGTAATTCTCTTCTGACATGGTCATGTCAAAAATATACCTCAGCAACCAATGGAGTGTGACATTGTATGAGCAGTGCCCCAAGTCTCTGCAGTCAGACTTAATCAGTAGGCTATAAACAGACTGAATCCATGACCTAGGAAGGGAATTATTTCCTAAGTTATTTGACAAGGTAACTTTCAGAATAAAATTGGTGAACAGAGAAGTGTTTCTATGATGATGAGAGAAGGTGAGAAATGCGTGGAAGGAGTGGATCAGAAAATATCTTTTACCGGGGGCTGGGAAGGTGGCTCAGTGGTAGAGCAATTGCCTTGCATGCTCGAGGCCCTGGGTTCGATTCCTCAGCACCACATAAGCAAAAAGAAAAAAGCCGGAAATGGCGCTGTGGCTCAAGTGGTAGAGCGCTAGCCTTGAGCTGAAGAGCTGAGGGACAGTGCCCAGGCCCAGAGTTCAGGCCCTGCAACCGGACCCAAAAAAAAAAAAAAAAAAAAAAAAAAGAAATTATCTTTTACCAATGGTGATGTCATCATAGTGTGAGTTCATGACCCACACTTTCCTTGTAATTAAAATGTGCCCAAATTTAACAATAAAGCTTAGTAGAAATTTACTGTCCCCATAAAAGATAATCACATTGGTTGATGAGTCCATTAGCTGGCAATACGTGGATAGATCATCTGAGTAATCTGTAAAGGCATTGTAAGGGATCATGTTCTCAAAGGCAAAACAGACTCTACTCTTGCCCATCTCTTCTCTCAATTCTGAGAGGAACCACACACCATAGTTGTCTTCAGTGATGAACAGTCCCACCCAGGTCCAGCCGAAATGAAGCATCAAAGAGACCATGGCCAGGCTAGATCTGAGTCTTTGGCTGCCATCTGATAGACAGTCCCAAACTTTCCATCGTCACTCAGGAGAGGTTCAAAAGCCCCAAAAGTGAACTACAGGGAAAAAATGAACACAACACCAGGAAGAGGATGGTAATAGGCAAGTCTCAGTCCTGATGTAAGCTAAACAAAAACTGGGAAGGGTGGGAGCAAAAGTTTGCTTATCCCATTTGCAAAGTCATCTCCCATGTTCCAAGCACTTTGCATACATGTATGGTTAAGGCTCAGAGCTTTGGGTCATCCTTTCCTTTCTTAAAACCTCTCCTTTTATTTAGAGCAAAGAAAATGTGTATGTTCCACCAACTTTTGGAGTCTTTTCCCTGTGAGATTATGCATATGGAAGGGTTCATGATAATACCTCTTCAGCCTGTCCAGGACAGAGTCCATGTGGACATAGTTTCACATCTGCCCACCTCTCCCAGCCTCACCTGTGGAAGTTGGTAGAGGTCCAGCAGTGTCCCGATTGGAACAGATGTGCTTGAGGTTCCTGTGAGTCCTGCTAAAGCTTTGCTGTCTCTTCTGCAGGTGTAATTGGGGCTGTTTTTATTTTTCCCAGAGCCAGATGAGAGGATCCTCTAACAGATCAGTACCTGAGTAATGTGCTGTATAGATCTCAAACCCCAGAGTCATGTTCGGTAGCAGATGGGGATTCTTGTTGATCTCCTCCACAGCCAGCAGCAGGATGAGAAGCAATTGGTATTTCTTTAAGTTGATCCTGCACAAAGGTCACAAATTTTGGGTAGGTATATGCTTATCACAAATGATTAACTGCAAATCTCATGACTTTTTTTTGAATCAAGTGCTTATCTCTACCCACAGTAGTATGTATAGATCCTATCTTCCAACAGGATGGTATTCTAAATTGGAGTCTTAGAATTGAGAGAGCTCGACAGTATCGGGAGAGTTCCGGGAAGATGGCGGAGGAGAAGCTGGAATCTGAACAAGCTCTTGCATAGAAAACAGTTTCAGAGTTCCAGTGAACATTCCCAAGCCAGAGAATCACACCAAGTGTGCCATCACAGGACAGAGAGTTAGTCAAGAGAGGGGAAGCCAAGCAGACACATCTGAGCAGCTGCCGCTGCGGCGGCAGGGTCGCAGCGGCGACCACCGCCGCGGAGGCATACCTGAGACGCAGTCCGGGACGTAGGAGCCAGACGCAGCGGACGAGCGGATTCTACTCAACACCAGCAAGAACCGACAAGGAGCGGACAACTTCATCCTGCACTTTGCAGACCAGAGATGACCCGGGATCCAAGACTCCGCGTGAGTAGAAGCCCCACTTCCTCACTCCTTCTCTGGGAGCAGAGGAGGGAAGGCCACCCCTCCCCCCCAGCACCGGTGATCTCCATCTTGGATACCAACAAAGCTCGGAGGAACGGCTAGCTCCAGCTCAGGCTTTGGAATAAAACTAGTCATTTAGCAGGTCACAAGAACTCAACGGCGAAGTGACCTCACAGACTGAGTTCCATCGAGGGAAAAGTCACCCAGCTCAGGCGCCAGCCATTGGAGTGGCTCTCCTCACTGGGTAACCAGAGCCAGAGGCTGCCCCTCCCTCTAGCAGCCACCACAATCAATTGAAAAACAGAAACCCTGAGAATTTCTCCAGGCTGGGTGCTCTGAGTTTTTTTTTCACAAAATAGCCCCAGGGAAAAGCTACTGTTCGTTGAAAGGCCTCAACTCTACCCAAAACCTAGCCTCATCACTGCATCCCCCTCTTTTGTGATTCTCAAAGCAGATCACCCTCCCAGTAAACTAACCTGGGAGGGGGATCTCAAAATCTTGGGTAAAGCAGAGCATTTTTCTGCCTGTTCAACAAACTGACTTAAGAAACCAATCAAGCCACAGGACCTCAACCTGACCAGAGACTCCAACCAGACTCTGGTTACAGACAAAAGGGAGATACAGGACTCTTCCCACCCCTCCCAAAAAAAAAAAAAAATCAAAGAACTTTTTTTTTCTTCTTCTTCTTTTCTTTTTTTCTTTTTCTTGTTTTGTTTTTTTTTCGTTTTTTGTTACCTTATATATATATAAAAAATTTTTTTTGCTTTTCTAAAACTTTTATTAATCTTTAATTTTTGCCTCTTCTGAAAAAATAATTGTTTTCCATTAACTTTTTTTTTTTTTCTCCTCTTATAATTTTTATTTTAGGAATACGTGAATGTGTGTTTTCTTTTCTTTTCTTGTCTTCTTTCTCTTTTTCTTTCATTCTTAATTATCTTTTTGTTTTTTTTTCTAGCTCTACTGAACTTCTGATCTTTTCTTCTCACTTTCCTATCCTTTCCATCTTTTCCTCTTTGTTCATCTTTATGTGACTTAACTCTTGTCCTGCACATCCTCAGATAAAGCCGTAGTTAACCAGTAGACCCTATCCCCCATTGTGTACACACTTAATCCACAAACTTATTACTCAATTCAAAACCTCTGAGACTTAACTTCATTAATAGCAGTACTACCTCTTTATACCTATATAATATTTTAAGCATTTTTTTAAAGTTTTTCTCATCTACTCTATGTCCTCTATATTCCTCTATAAATAGATGGTCTTTTAATCTCTAAAATAACATTAATTTTTACGTTTCTATTTTTTTTCCTGGTCTCCTTACATCCCCCTTTCCCTTTCTTCTTTTTCTCTCTCTCTCTACTTACATCCTACCCAACCTATTTCCTGCATTGTGATTAGGACATAGTTAACTCTCCCTGTGCCTCCCCACACCAATCTATTCCTATTTTTTACCCACATCTCTCCCTAACCCTAATAATTTCTGGTTTTCCAAATTCTTCTCTGCGGTTCGAAGTCCTTTAACATATAGTTGTTTGATGTCGAATAGATGTATCTGTTGAACTAGATTGTATCTGTAGACTATTGACTGTACAAATGCAAACTTTGGTTGATGGTTGCCTTAAGATAGTGTTCTAGCACAAAACTGGTGCTATCTTCATCTCAAATGGGCAGAGTAAGCCGGAAAAACACAAGAAAAATGGCAAATTCGGGTATCTCAATTCCCAATCCTGATAATCAGGGGTTAGAACAGATAGTGAATAATCCAGAGGAGAGTTCCCAAACAGCTCTACAAACACTGCTGGCAAACATGATAAATGAAAAGTTTGACAACGTACAAAGGACTCTGTATGAGCGTGATAGGGAGAGAGAGGAGGCATCCCAGAAGTTTATACAGGAATATCATAAGCGTGAGGAAGCTACTCAAAAACTGATACAGGATTTGCGTGAACAACTTGAGAATACTCAAAGAGAAAGGGAAGAATGGCGTGAGCAGGCTGAGAACACTCAAAGAGATCTGCAGGAATACCATGAACGGGAGGAAGCTAATCAAAGAGTAATACAGGAATTGAGAGACCAGGTAGAGAACACACAAAGATCACTAAAGGCATTCATGGAATCCATTAACAAAGAGCTGAAGGAAGTCAGGGAGACCACAAAGGTAATGCTGAATGGAACCCAACAGACACACAAAGATCACTAAAGGCATTCATGGAATCCATTAACAAAGAGCTGAAGGAAGTCAGGGAGACCACAAAGGGAATGCTGAATGGAACCCAACAGAAGGAATGGGAGCCCAGAGAAACCATAACCAATCAACTAAGTGATTTGATGACAAACACTGAACACCAAATTAAGGAAGTAAAGAAATTCATACAAGACCTAAAACAGAGCTTCAACAAAGAACTTGAAGCCATCAAAGCTGACCAACTAGAAGGAAAAGAGATAAAAAACAAAGTAGAGAGTCTTGACAGCAGGTTAGACCATGCAGAAGATCGAATCTCAGGGATTGAAGACAGCCTAGATATTATAGAGAAAGAACATACAACCATCCAAGACAAGTCCAAGAAATATGATAGATCTATCCAACACCTGGAAGACACCATCAGAAGGCCTAATCTAAGGATAATGCGTGTAGAGGAACACCTAGAAACAGAAGTTAATGGTCTAGGAAATCTGTTTAACAGGATCCTAGCAGAGAACTTCCCAAACATGCAAAAAGATAAGCCTGTCCAGATACAAGAAGCCTTTAGAACCCCAAATAGACCAGACCAGAATAGGACATCCCACCGTCACATTATAATCCACACAGGATCAACTCAGAACAAGGAAAAGATCCTTAAAGCTGTCAGAGAGAAAAGGGTAATCACTTATAAAGGGAAACCAATTAGAGTCACCTCAGATTTCTCAGCAGAGACAATCAAAGCAAGAAGAGCCTGGAATGATGTATGCCATGCCCTAAAAACAAACAACTATCAACCAAGAATACTGTACCCAGCTAAACTCTCCTTCATAACTGAAGGCCAAATAAAAACCTTCCATAGCAAAGAAAAATTGAAACAATACATCTCCACCAAACCAGCCCTACAAAAGATTCTTAAAGATGTCCTACACATAGAAAACCAACAAGACCGCAATAAAGGCCAAGAAACTGCACCCAAACTGAGAATCCAAGAACCATAGGAAGAACCCAGTTTTCGCAGCCCCCAAGAAGGTAGATACATTGGCAGGAACTCCCAAATACCTCTCAGTCCTATCTCTTAATGTTAACGGACTGAACTCTCCAATTAAGCGACATAGACTGTCTAGTTGGATTAAAAAACAAGACCCTTCTATCTGCTGCCTGCAGGAGTCACATCTTGCCCGTAAAAACAAACACATTTTCAATGTTAAAGGCTGGAACAAAATCTACCAAGCAAACGGACCACATAAACAGGCGGGAGTTGCAATCCTAATATCAGATAAAATAGACTTCAAATTAAAATTCGTGAAAAGAGATAAAGAAGGTTGCTACATACTAATTAAAGGATCTCTCCTTCAGGAGGATATTACAATTCTAAATATCTATTCGCCAAACAATGGAGCACCCAAATTTATCAAAGAAACACTACTTTCCCTCAAATCCCATATAGATCCAAAGACATTAATTGTTGGGGATTTTAACACACCACTCTCCCCACTAGATAGATCAACTCGGCAAAAACTCAACAGAGAAACCGCAGATCTAAACAGCTGCATAGATCAACTAGACTTAACAGACATTTACCGAACATTTCACCCAGCAGCATCAGAATACACGTTTTTCTCAGCAGCACATGGAACGTTTTCTAAAATAGACCACATTTTAGGCCACAAAGCAAACTTGTCTAAATACAGAAACATTGAAGTTATACCTTGCATTCTCTCTGACCACAAGGGAATAAAGTTAGAACTCAACACCAAAAGCCACCAAAGAAAGTCCGGTATCACATGGAGGCTGAACAACACACTGCTGAATCATGAGTGGGTCATGGAAGAGATTAGAAAGGAAATTCAAATGTTCATGCTATTCAACAAAAATGAACACACAAAATACCAGCTCCTCTGGGACACAGCAAAGCAGTACTCAGAGGCAAGTTTATAGCTCTGAGCTCCTACATCAACAAATTGGAGAGATCTGAAACTAACAATTTAATGACACATCTAAACCTCCTTGAAAAAGAGCAGCAAGATAAACCCCAATCCAGTAGACGGAAAGAAATAATCAAAATTAAATCAGAATTAAATGAATTAGAATCCAAAAAAACTATAGAAAGAATCAACAAAACAAAGAGTTGGTTCTTCGAAAAATTTAACAAAATTGACAGACCCTTAGCAAATCTTATCAGAAAAAGAAGAGAACACACCCAAATTAATAAACTCAGAGATGAGAATGGAAACATCACCACGGAAACAAG